CTAGCATTTTCAGACTGTGGTCACTAATGGGTACACCACATATTAATCTCATGGCAGGTTTGCTCTAATACATTCTGCCTCCTGAAACCCAAAAGTCACACAACATCACACGTAATCTGTTTTCATGAAAATATTTTTATTGCACTTAATAAAGCTGTTATCATTGACATGATTCTTCAAATATTCATTAGAAATATATTTAAACATTGAATACATGCAAAATAGTTTTATAACTTTTTTTTTCTTTTTTTTTACAAGTGTTCACATATTTGTGAATTATTATATGTTACTGTGGCAATGCTGAATTTTCAGTTTCAGTCTTAAAACAGTTCAGCCTCCTTTTGTTATATAAAAATGTATGTTAAGAGTAATTTCATATGGTTGAGTATCTGAAACACAAATATATAATTTAAAATTTATTCATTTTCTTCCATTTCTTCACTTATCACAAAAATTACCCTTTTCTTTCTTATCCTTTTTGAGAGGAGTGTATTGAACTTTTTTTTTTTTTTTACACATTAAATTGTTTAGCCACATCTTGTTATACAATACTTGAGCCCATCTCAAGCCTAAACTTTTCTTTTGTTTTTAATACAGTGGAGGATGATTAGAACTTCTCTTGGGGAGTTTTTGTCATCTGTGGTCCCATTGAGGAGATCTCCCTTCAATTCCTCTGTCTGTCATAGGGATTCAGAAGGACAGGAAGTGATGGAAAATGTCTCTGATCGGGACAGCAACAAATTTTTATTTTTTTTGGTACAACAAGGAAAGGTTTGGAATCAGATTTTTATTGCTGTCTGTGCCTTTCCTATCCCTTTACACCACATAGTACTTCCAATTCTTATCCAAGTGTCAGTGAGACACACAGCAAGCAGAAATCTCTACAGTGGAGCCACAGACAACAATGAAAACCTGAATTTCCATTTTATTTATTTATTGCACATATTTATTGTGTACACTGTTTTTTTTATTTATTGTACATATCAATTGTGGACACTGTTGAAATAATTATTTTTCATTGTTTTTTTTATGGAATTTTGGACACACTTTGGTTATACATGAAATATTTTATTGCTATATATGAAATTTTGGACACATTTTGTGGCTATGCATGAACTTTAGCAATTTTGTGCATTTATTAATTTGCTTACTTTGCACATTGAGTTTACTTAAAGGGGCAGCACACCGTTTTGGGTATTCGCAAATAAAATCTGATAGAAACTCTAATCCTTTGCCACTCTACTGAAAACTACAAGGCTACTACCAAAACAGGGTTGGGGTTTTTCAACTATTTATAAAGGTGGTGATAGTGGTCCAATCCTTACTTTTTCAATACACAAGCATAGTGATAGTAACTAAAACATAACCTTGAAATACACGTTTGAACACTTTAGAATGTGCACCAGTGTTCTGAATGTTTTCAAACCAGTAATAATGGTTCTGAGAAGACCGAAGATGGTCTCTGTATGTTATGTAATACTTTTCTTTTGGTAGCAAGTAAAGGAGCACAAGTGACAAAGCATTTTTGTTTTAACAATGTTGGGAGCAACCAGAGATAAACTCCAAAGAAATACATTTTTCAAAAGTGGAAGGCCTTCAAAAATGAGTGTACTGTTTAAAATAACGCATTAACATTGATGCCAATTACATAGAAAACTCTTAAATTGATTTTGAACAAAGGTCATTAGAAACACATTTGTTCCATGCATAAAATCAATCAAACCTTTGCAACTAGATTGATTCCAGCCATTGCATTGTATTTAGTTTTTCAGTTAAGTTGTTTATATCTGTTTTTCTGAGTATACAGTCTAAAGGAAAAATAGTGAATCCTTGGTATTTTTTTTAAACCTTGCAAAGTTAAAAGAAATCAGCAGTTTTGATGGGTGTGTCATATTCTACCAACTGTTGCTCCCTACCGCTGCTGTGTCACGGCTCCCTCTAATCAGCTGATACTGACAGCAGGAGCCACATGCATATATATATATATATTTAATACAAGTATTGTCATTACATTTACCTAACCGCTCCAGAGAAACTCTGTCTGGAACTGTCAGGATTGCATGATAAAATTTTAACATCCATAGAACTGCTAAGCCTCTACGGAGCTGAATGAATGCAATTTAAAAAAAAAAAATTCAAACATTTTAGATATCTAAAACTAGAACTTTTTTTTTCTAGCTTTGGATAGAGTAGGGAAGGGTAAAAGTCTGTGGAGATGTCCCTTCAAGTTCTGTAGATACAACAGGAAACGCTACAAAATATTTGCTGGTGGCAATGGTCTTCCTAATGGGGACATGGACAACAATAAAAACAAACAAATCTAACCATTCCCCAGAAACAAATATTCAGGGTGTAATATGTTAAGATCAGACCAACCCCCGCTCCCTGCTTTGACATCCCCCCTCACTAGCTGTCACTCATTCACAGTCTTCACCTGCAAAAAACAATGTGCATTTATTATTTTTTACAGAAGGGTGAACTTCTCCTTTAAATTAGTAAAATCAGAAACCGTGACATAATCACTTAAACCTAGCATCAAAAAATACGGAAGTTGCACTTGCTAACCTCACTCTGAAATACTAGCTACCTGACTATTAGGCTGATCCTCTGGCTATAATACCTCCTAAAGCCAGCTAGTAGAATTTTATTCCAAATTTTCATTTTATCAACATGCTTCAATTTTCTTACCATCACTGGGGTCAAATTGACATTCAATTTCATCTGCAATGACTAGAAAATTCAAAGGAGCAAAAAGTTTTCTCAAATGAACGAATTTCTAACAGTATATGTAGTGTAGTTTTTGTTTGGTAAAGACCTTTGGAAAGACATTCATCAAACTGTCAAATGTACTGATACATTTAGTAGGAATGTTTGTGCAAATGTTTATTCGAAAATCTGGTAGTGTGACCAGCCTTAGTAGCTGCTTCAGAAAAAGTATACAGGTCAGAAGTCCTTGCCTGCAAATGTATTCTGGGTTAGTGACAGAGTATTGATAAATGAGGGTCAGCATTACATCCAGGCTACAAGTAGATCAGTAATTGTCATCTCCGAGTTTCTTTTTATAAGAGGTTTTCTTCAAAACTATACAGTATATTTAAATAATTAAAATTATACATTTTCTCATTTGTATGTCTTTGTGTTGAGAGTAAGAAAAGCACAATGGGTTGCCCTAAGTTGCAAACCATTTGATTATGTATTCATTCACTAACATTGTGGAAGTTAATGTAGAAAAATACAATGAAATGCGGCTATGATATTTCTTTTTAAAAATACAAATGTGTCAGCTGCCAGGGGGGTGTACAGAAAATACACACCAATAGAACACCAGACTTTCAGAACTAGTTTTCCAAGCAGATATTCCACCCTCCCTTTGTGAGTAAGTCACAAGTGTCAGATTCAATGATTGTTAGAAAAGATTGTTAATCTGAAAATGTTTCCATTATATATTTTTAACTATTTACAGCTTAAAACTTTTTTTTTTCCTCATATAAATCTGTGGATTGTAATTTTTCCATTTTATATTAATCAAGTAATTCAGCAGAAATGTATATTAGCATTACCTTTTGTCACCTGTTAAAAAAAAAAAAAACAACAATTTTTCTGAAATTGTGTACCATACTAATCAACCCTGCTTCTGGGTACCAGTGCGTGTAACACAATTGTTATAGATTAATGGTGTAAATAATGTGTCTAGTGACAGGCATTCAGTTGTGAAACTTCTTTAAATCATGCAGTAAGTGCAGCTTTGCACATAAATCAATTAGCAAGTTATACTTGTTTTCTAAAAATTGTGAGAAAGCAATGGGAATGTAATCATGCTTCTCTATTATACATTACTTCAACAGAGTAAGGGACAACAGGGACCTCAAATACACATTTGTCACAGTCAAAATTGCCAATGTAAAGAACAAAAACCCCAAGTCATTCCATAACTATACCTCAATTGAACTGTACCACCATAATGTGCAGGCTGGGGACAGTATATACTTTACATCCAAAACTAAATCACATCAGATAAATAGCTGCGAAGAAACTTAATAAATCACTTTTTTAAATTCATATTGGATCTAGAAAATACAGTCTTAACCCATAAAACCTTTAAAATCAACACCTTCCACATATCTGTACACTCCACATATCTATGCAGCCTAGCACAATTGACAAAACAGCAAAAGGGGACTTGGGGCAAGAAATGTAGGCAGTGCAGACAAAATGCACTCACTGAGATTAGCATGATTTGAGGCATGGTGGAATCAGCAGTAGAGTGCTTGCTTTGGCAAAAAAAAAATCATGTCCTGCCCACGAGGTGCTGGATTTCTATTCTGATGTCCCACCCACAAAGGGCAGAATTTCTCTTCTAATGTCCTGCCCACCAACTGCTGGATTTCAATTCTCAGTTAAGGCTCTGCTGCATAATTTTTTAAGAGATGAATAACACTTTAAGAAAATTAAACATTATACTCATGTAGGTATTCTTTCTGTTTTATTAATTATAATGAAGAATGGAATTTTGCTTTAAGATTTAAAAATGTAAAATATTGAATTCTCCTTACTTTTAGAAGCTGAGCATTAATATTTCTGTGGCAATGCACATATGGCTTTGGCTAGAGGTAGCAGTCACATAATAACAAGCTAACCCCCAAGGTATTTTTTATATCATCTAAATATTGTAACTGTCAGTAAATATAATTATTTTATAATTCTCAGTAGAATATCTTGTGTAGCAAAGCAAACACTGATAAGTCTTTAAGCTTTAGCAATTCGTTTGGCAATATACAGTCTGAATTTAAATTATGTTGGAAACAGAAAATCACAAAACTAATAAAATCTTAGCAGAATTTACAGCCTGAAGTATTAGGAAAGAAATGTCATGCCAAATATATACACAGTATTTTTTGTACAAGGATATGTTTACAGAGAGTCATAAGTTTTTGCTTTGCCCATTGGTTCAATAGCATTATTATCATTACCAACAATCTTCTCGTTATTTGACTTTGCAGTTAGTTTTGTCGTAGCTGGTGCCACATAGACACAGGCTTTCTGAGGGTGGCCAACATTTGGTTCCAGTGGGTCATGCCCATCCCACTGACTGAAGGTCCAATGATCACATGTCCGATATTTTCTGTTCTGCCATCATCACAACATTCTGCTACTGTCACCCTTAGAGACAAGTCCTAAAAAGACAAAATTGTTATGTCACAGCATTTGGAAATCTGCAAATCCACCAGTTTATGACATGCCTGTTTGGAGGAATGAGGTCTTGTTGTTTGGAGATTGGGGCCTCTGTTAATGACCACTGAGAGCCTATGCACTTATTCCTAGTTCTATTTGCTACGTTCTTGGATATCATTCTAGCAGCATGGAAAAATCCAGTCTCAAAGTAATTGCATGGATTATCATGAGAGTTTTGTTATGCCTCTTGTGTAGTCTGGAAGTTAAAGCATATTTCCACTTTTGTAGCGTAATTTGAGAAAACAATATTATTTGTGTTCCCATTCACACAGCATGCCTATTTTTATTTTTAAATATTTCCTACCTTTTAGAACAGGGGTTTCCAAATTTTTGAAGCAAAGGGCCTGTTTACTGACCTTTAGACTTTAGGGGGCCAGACTGTGGCCCAAGGGAGTAGAAAAGTACATCCGTGAAAAGAATAGTGCCCCAGCAATGGTGTCAGTGAGAAGACTAGGATCCCATCGTTGGTGTCAGTGGAGGAATGGTGCCTCATCAGTGGCAGGAATAGTTTCTCATCGTTGTCAGTGGGAGGAATAGTACCACATCTCTTGTGTCAGTGGGAAGAATAGTGCCCCATATCCATGGGAGAAATAGTGTCCCAAGGGCCACAGGGTGCAGTTTGGAGAACACTTTTTTTTAATACAATGTTAGAGTGAATCTGTCCCATGTCTGTCTTCATTAATATACCATGCAAGAGGCCCAGCCCCTTAACTTCTCACCCTTTGTTAGGATAGACAGAAGTCAAATCTAGTTACAGTTGCTAATGAAGATCTGCCTGCACCATATAGACAAGGTTAATCATGGTAAACACAGCTGTCCAGCCCCATTACCACAAAGAGAACTATGTACCATTTTTCCTTGCTGGATGGTCCAGAGTAGATCATCTCCAAAAGGTAAGCTGCAATTTAAAAATTTTTGTTTTCTTAAGTTATCCAATGTGAATAGGGACATGTAACAAATATAACGTAGTTGAAGTCCCAATTTGGCTGCAAAAGCGGAAATAGACTTTAAGATGGCCATCAGAAAAACTGGATCATACAAGGTTAGTCAAATATGTGTAGGTCAAACAGGTAAACTTGGGGCCACCAAAGCTAACCGACTTATATTGAGGACCTAGAACTTGATTGAGCATTTAACCACTTCCTATCCGGCCCATGTGCATAAACGGCCGGACAGGAGCAGTGCCGGAGCGGGTTGACCTTTCTAAACATCACCCCCATTGACTGCCTGTGCACGCTCCCTGGGAGCGCGCGGCACTGCGAACCGGTGCCCGCTGTACGGGATCTCTGTGTGAGGTCCCAATTCATGTGATCACTGATTGGCCAATCAGTGATCACATGAATAGTAGCAAACAAGATGTCACTTCCTGACATCATTGCTTACTATGTGTGAAATCTTTGAATGACACAGAGGTCTCGTACAAGGCTATTCACAACAGCCTTGTACCATGTGACAAGCTGTGACCAATCACAGCTTGCACAGTATTTCTCAATGGCTGAAAGAATGCAGCCAGAGAGAAGGAGAAATTATTGATTTTACAGCCTTTATGGGTGTAAAAGCAATCAGTGTAAAAAAATAAATAAATCCTCCATAACCCCCCCACAAGTAGTACAGTGTCACTATGGTGACACTGTACTGCTAGGGTGATAGTATGTTTAAAAAAAAACAAAAACCTAAATAATATAAAAAAGAGTAAAAACATTTTTTGAAAAATTATAATTTTTGGTTATAAACTAATTTGATTTCTTTTATTTTTTTTTTTACTAAAAAGATAGCTGACTACATTTTGGCAAAGATTTATGAAGAAAGATTTATTTGCAAAATTTTATAAGAAATTTTTTTTTCAAAATTTTTGGACTTTTTCATTTATATAGCAAAAAAATTAAAAACCCCAGTGGTGAATAAATACCATCAAAATAGTTTTATCTGTCTCCAAAAAAATGCTAAAAAATTCATATTTGTATAGTGTTGCATGACTGCGCAATTGTCATTCAAAGTGTGATAGCACTGAAAGCTGAAAATTGACCTGGACAGGAAGGGGGTGAAAGTGTCCGGACTTGAAGTGGTTAATATATGCATTGAGCTCACATCTGAACCTGCAAGATCCCACAGTTTACCTGATTTAAATAAATGGGACATTTTTATGTATCAAAAATGCTTTTGAAATCAAAACAACCATCACATTTAATCAAGGTACTAGCAGATATCTAATAGGGTAAACTGGGAGACAGCAGTCTAAAAGTGAACTGGACTGGTACTTTTAAGAAAGCAAATACTTCCATAGCAGATGGTTGAATAATAAAATAAAGGCTTAGTCATTTCCCTTAAATGAAATTAGTTAAAATACTAGCCAGCTATAATTTAATTCATTTTAAGGTTTATTCAGGATCATTATATTTTCACTGATTTTAAAAGCAAATAAAGAATCGTGCTATAAAACACTTCCAGTGCATTGAGGACAGCATGATGGCAAATATTCTTTTAGGAGGCTATAGTGGGAAAATCTTGACCTTGGGAAAATTTACTGCAAAAAGGCTACAGGGGGGTCGGCTCACATTCCCTACATTATAGGAGAATTTTATGCTACATATTTCTCTGACAGTGAAAGACTTAAAAGCTAAGAGCTGTGAAAAAGTTATGGTAAAGGCCATTTCCTTATTTTCCATTGTCACGGTGGGGTGGGGGGTACATGCAGTACTCAACGATGGCAGCTCTTCTGACCATCTAAACCAGGGGTCCTCAAACTTTTTAAACAGGGGGTCAGTTCACTGTCCCTCAGACCGTTGGAGGGCCGGACTATAGTTTGAAGAAAAAAAAAAACCATGAACAAATGCGGACACAGTACAGGAGATGACCAGAGACTGCGGACACAGTACAGGAGATGACCAGAGACTGAGGACACAGTACAGGAGATGACCAGAGACTGCGGACATACAACAGCGGCGGGAATACTGGGCCGGCCGCTCCATAAGATGCACAGACATTTCCCACCAAGTGTGTCTTATGGAGCGAAATAGTGCCCCATCATTGGTGTCAGTGGGAGGAATAGTGCCCCATCATTGGTATCAGTGGGAAGAATCGTGCCCCATCATTGGTGTCAGTGGGAGGAATAGTGCCCCATCATTAGTGTCAGTGGGGGGAGGAATAGTGCCCCATTGTTGGTGTCAGTGGGGGGAGGAATAGTGCCTCATCGTTGGTGTCAGTGTGGGGGGGGGGAATAGTGCCCCGTCATTGGTGTCAGTGGGGGAAGGGGATAGTGTCCCAACATTGGTGTCAGTGGGAGGGATAGTGTCCCAACATTGGTGTCAGTGGGAGGGATAGTGTCCCAACATTGGTGTCAGTGGGAGGAATAGTGTCCCATCATTGGTGTCAGTGGGAAGAATAGTGCCCCATCTTTGGTGTCAGTGGGAGGAATAATACGTCACTGGTGTCAGTGGGGGGGATTAGTGCCCCGTCATTAGTGTCAGTGGGGGGGGGATAGTGTCCCAACATTGGTGTCAGTGGGAGGAATAGTACCCCATCATTGGTATCAGTGGGGGAAGGAATAGTGCCCCATCGTTGGTGTCAGTGGGGGGGGTGGAATAGTACCCCATCGTTGGTGTCAGTGGGGGGGGAGGAATAGTGCCCCATCGTTGGTGTCAGTGGGGGGAGGAATAGTGCCCCATCATTAGTATCAGTGACACCAATGATGGGGCACTATTCCTCCCACTGACACTTAACTTGCTGACCCCTGTTCCAGCATGGTGCTGCTGCAGCCAGCATACCTGGTTGCAGCAGCACCATCTGCACGGCACACTTACCTGTCAGCTGTCCTTCTTCACTCCGGCCTCTCCCTCACTCGATGTTCGCGGGGCCGCTCGGCTCCACCTCCTCGCAGGTGACCACCTGTGTGCCTTTCCTGAGCTACAGTTCTGGCACCCAATCACCGGTAAGGAGGCGGAGCCGAGCGGCAGCGCAAACATTGAGTGAGGGAGTGGCCGGAGTGAATGAAGGAGCAGCGCTTCCTGGACTGGATCGTCGTGGGACTGGGACCGGAGCCAGGTAAGATATAGCAGCCCCCTGTCCGCCCATGTAGTTAGTGTCCCCTTTCCTGCGGCAAATACTCCCCTGCCGGCGGGCCGGATAAATGGCCTCGGCGGGCCGTAGTTTGAGGACCCCTGATCTAAACAAACATTTTTTTTTTTTACCACATCTGCTACAGTCTGTCCTCCGGTTATCTTGTCAGAAGATTACCTACAAGTTTAACATTGAGTTTCTCTCTGATTTACTCACTGACCGCAAATAACAGCAGGACCAGGAAGAGGACACCATAGATCCTTGCCATTTAGACATCAGTTTACTGAACTAACCTCCCACAAGTGAAATATGACCCAGGGGCCTAACTATTGCACATGGAACCCAGTACCATCTATCCAAATAATGTTTTGTTCAGTAGTATACACACAAACAATTTAAGATCAAATGCATGCAAATCCAGCTCAAGAGCCTCTGATTACTGAGAAAGGTTTCAGTAAGCATTGTTTTTTCAGTGGTAAACATGTGTATAATAGGACTACCCTTAAACAAACCTGCAAATGTAAATACTACCAAACCATCAATAACTGTGTAGTAAACAAATCACATTTTGTTGCTTTGCAGCCTGAAATGAAGACAGACACAGTTTTTGTTTTGTCCAGCTGTACTTGCTTAGTGCAACTTACAACATCCAAGTGAAAGATATAACACCAACATGTCAGAAAAAATGTTTTAAAAAATCCAAAATAAAGTTGGAAAAAGGATCATCCTCTCCTAAAAATTACTTTTAAACTCAATCAGGTGTAGCTAATCACCTGCTCAGTGGCACACAAAGCCATTTGACTTTCAGCTGTGGTCATTTTGATTAGCTCAGCATGAAAAGTGCTTTCCTGCAGCATTTCAGTCCCTGGCAGTGGAACTGAATCCAACCATCAACTATGGGTGGCAAAGCACTGTCAAAAGATCTCTGGGATAAAGTTGTGGACAGGCACAACTCAGGTGATGGATACAAAAACCTTCAACGGCTTTATCAATGCCAACAAGCACAGTGAAGTCTATTATTAAGAAGTGGAAGGTATATGGTACAACACAGACCCCCCCCGGATTAAGACATCACACCAAACTGGATGAAAGAGTCAGGGGGAAACTGGTCAGAGAGGCTACCAAAAGGTTTACAGCAACTCTGAAGCAGTTGTAGGAATTTATGACAAAGAGTGGTCATTTTGCATGTGACAACAATATCACAAATTCTCCACAAATGTGGCTTGTATAGGAGGGTTGCAAGAAAAAAGCTACTTTTCAAGAAACGGCTGAGCTTTGCCAAACACACCCTGAAGATTCTGAGGCTACATGGTCAGATGACATTAAAATTTAATTATTTGGCCTGAACACTAAATGATATGTTTGTTGGAAATCCAATACAGCTCACCATCCAAATAACACCATTCCTACAGTAAAGCATGGAGATGGTAATATCCTGTTATGGGGGTGTTTCTCTGCAGCAGGGACTGGAGCGCTTGCCAGGATAGAAAGAAAAATGGATGGGGCAAAATACCATCAAATTCTTGGGGAAAATCTGCTGCCCTCTGCTAGAAAGTTGTCAATGGGAAGAAAGTTTACCTTCCAACATGACAATGACCAAAAGCACACACAAAAATTACCCCACAGTGGTTGAAGGAGAAAAAAGTAGATGTCCTTGCATGGCCTAGTCAGAGCCCAGACTTGAACCCCATTGGAAATCTATGGAATGACTTGAAGATTGTAGTCCACAGTCACCATCAAATTTAACTGAACTTGAGCAGTTCTGCAAAGAAGAGTGGGCAAATATTGCAAAGTAAAGATGTGCAAAGTTAGTAGAGGCATATCTCAACAGACTAAAGGCTGTAATTAAAGCAAAAGGTGGTTCAACAAAATACTGACACAAGGGGGTGATCCTTTTACCAAATAAGTGATTCTGTTTTTGAATTATTTTTATTTTTTCTGATATGTTGGTGTTCTATCTTTCACTTTGATGATATAAACACGGCTGGATAAAACAAAAACTGTGTGTCTTTATTTCAGGCTGCAAAGCGACAAAATGTGATTATTTTAAAGGGGGCTGATTCTTTTCTATACCCACTGTATCTTGAGCTGCCTGAATGTCCAATCAGATTTTCTTGAAGATGGGCCCCGAATACTTGAGCTCACTGTCATGCAGCTAGCTGTGCCCATGTGATTCTTGTCCTCTGAGCATCACTTGGTTAGTTGTGATAGTCACTGTGATGGAAGAGTAGCAAAACTAAGGAGAATAGTCAAAGTTGTCAACAACAACTGTAACAGATCAGCTTCTATTCTAAACAGGAATGCTTTATGTTCAGGCAGTAGAGGAAGGAAGAAAAAGCACATACAAATGGTTCCAACACAAGCTTAGTTTAGGAATAATATTAAGTTGGGAAAGCATGTCTAATCTCTCTGCCTTCTATAGATTGGTGGTTAAAGGCTCAACAGACCTGATCCATAGATCATTTATCTGATTCAGACGTTTTCATTATCTAATGGCGATGGGCACCTTTAAAAGCCTAAGAAGTTGTAGACACCATAAGATGCCAGATCATGTCTTTAGTTCAGTGGTCAGTCCCTGAGGGATCTGTCATTTTCAAGACCAGTCATGTCACATGGGGGGGTCGAATGTTGTGTCTATGCAGGTTCTGCACAACAGAAAGTCAGTATCAGGAGTGGACAGGTAGAAATCTCAAATTAAAGGATGTGCTTGCGGTTTTAATATTCTGACATTAATGTATAAAAGTGGAACTTTACACACAACGTGATAAAAAAATATTGTTCTTTAGCATGAAACATACATTCCACATTAATAATTATGCTACCAATATTCGTGTGCGCTGTAAATTGCCTTGCAGCATTGTTCTTGTTTCTTCTTGCTGCAGGATGCCATTTTGCCGAAGCCAAGAGCCCTGAGCAACAATACATCTTTAGGCTGTCAGCAGATCAGCCTCTACAAATTTGGCACAGTTCCTAAAAATAGAGTGCAACTGAGCATGTGCAGATCAGGGTGAGACAGTGTATTACGGGATTTTAAATAGTATAGGCACTTATTTTTAATGTTTTACATAGCTTTACCTGCAAAAGGGGCCAGCCTGAAGTCATCTAGCAGGGCTTAATTTTCTGTGTAAAGCTCTTTTTTAACTAAATATTGGATATCCAATGAAAACAAATGTATCCCTTTAAATCTATAAAGCAAAGACAAATAGACTGTTCATTCTGCAAGGGAAGTTGTACTTTGCAAAGTCATTATTCCCAACAGCTTAATGAGCAAAGTGAAGGTCTGCTGACTTCATCCAATCATGTGCAAGCAAAAATGCTGTTTTTTTTTTTTAATTTTCCTTGCATGTGATTGGGTATGCTTTGCTAAGTAAAATGTCACCAAATTCACGGGGCACTGGGGGAAAATTCCTTGTAAAGTGAACAGCCTATTTGCTTTTGCCTTTTAGTAAATCGACCCCTAGGTGACAACGGTGGTAGCAGAAGAATTCTAAGAAAGCGATTTCTTAAATAGAAATCAGGGTCAGGCAGTGGATTTGCATTAAATGGTTAACTGTATTATCCGGTTCTTCTTATAAATGTAATTCAGTACATTTATCAAGCTATGTCATGAAGGTTGAGCATGAGCTAAAGCCTCAATAAGCCAGGAATACAAATGTTACTTTGAAAAATAGTACAATGAATTCACAGGCACATTTTCAATCTCAGGCTCCCTGGGAGCTGCTATTCTGAGGATCCTGTTAGGAGGAGTGCAGCCTTTTACGTATGATTGTGATGACTCACCTGCAGTACTATGGCTGGTACAGAGAAAATCATGGCTTCATTAAAGACCGGATTTCTGTCGTCCCGTTTCACTGCGGTCTTTTTCTTGCTGATCTTTCTGCCGTCTTGCAGCAGGTACACCTTTACAAATGGATCTGGGAATACAAAGAAGCACATTCATTTGGATCAAGAATCTGTCTGCACTGCACTCTGTATGCTGACACCAAAAAGCACATTTTGCATTTTGACCTGCAAAACCTTAACAAAGAGTATACAGGGGACACAAACTCAAAATTTCCGAATGTCTAGATATAATTACAAGTACAAAGAAAATATACAAAGTGTGTATGCTTCCAAAGATACATCATCTTGCATGACCAATTTAAATGTAACTAGTGCTTAATCATATTAGTAAATTTTTCTATTTACAGTAACTTTTTTTTTTTCCTCTTTTTAATCTCCATGTAAAACTGAACATTTATTTTACATGTATTGTGTGACCATACATCTGATTGTATAATTTTCATGGGACAGTGGATTTTAGGGGGCTGTCCCCAGGAAAAAACGTTCCCTCATTGTGTCCCTGATTTCTTTCCAGCTTTAATAATGGTGTTCCCAGCTCTGGTGCCTGCAGGGTAATATGTCAAAGCAACATTTCTGTAATTGGCCTAGAGCAGGAGGAGGGAGGAATATTTGTTGGGAGGCACTCTGTTACTTACTTTTGGCCTCCACACTCTACTACTACTCTGCATGTTAAGCACTCTTGCCTCAAAGAAAAGTCGGCTATGGTGTTATTAAACCTACTCCTTTAAGTCACTCCCACTCTTTGAACAATTTGGCCACATACATCATTTGGTGTAGCATGCTTTGTGTGGCACCAAGGGCGGACTGACCATTTGGGAACTCGGGCACTGCTCGAGGGCCCGGGGTCAGAAGGGGGCTCCATGAAATGCCCCTGGTACCTTTTTCATAGGCTTTTTTTGGGTGTGGTTTGAGTGTGGGCAAAGATAGAGGGGCCCCATGGTCCCCTATTGCCTGGGGGCCCCATGAGTTGACAGTCTGCCCCTGTGTGGCACTATTATTCACACCCCATGCTCCACTCCCAATAAAAGTGGGTATAGTCAATGATGTGTCCCCTGTCTGATTCTAAATAAACTGATGGGTTGTTTAGGTAAACCCTCACATTAATTAGTTTTGGTAAATTAAATGTTACATTTTATACAAATAGACTGTAATGTTTAGGCATCTCAAAGTGTCAAATCAATCTTTACTCTATGGTTCAGTTTTAACAGTTCGTCTTCTTGTTTTCTATTCTTCTTCTAGGGTTAATGGACCATCTCATAGCTCTAAAGATGCCAAAGGGGTTGGTGCAGTAGATCATAACATGGAGCACCCAAAACCTCTGTAAACATTAGTTTCTATCAATTTTGGGCCAAGCACTAATATTTATTGTTACCCTGGCCCCTAAACGTTATGAAACCCGCAGTCAAGCCAGCTGCCATTACAGCCACTGTCGTTCGGAATATCTAATGGAGAGTGATTTGTCTTATCTAGCAAAGCAGTCTCATTGTTCTTACTCCAGCCTATTCTTTTTTAAATATAAATAACTAGACAGAAACAGCCAGAACTTACATTCGTAAAACTTCGTAATGCTTATTGGTATTCCAGGAGTGACATGTTAAATATGCCAGAAGCCAAGCTGTAATATATCTGCTGGCCAAAAACAGTTCTGCAAGTTGATAAATACAATGTCTGGGCTCTAGAATGGGTTTCCAGCCAACATTATTCCTTACTGCTAACACTAGAGATCATTACTTTTTGTAGCCACGTAAATATTCCAGAACAAGCCAATACCTGCGTATATCACCACAATGAGCTCTTCTGCTTGGAAAGTTTTCTGCCGCAGTATTGCTTTGATAAATATATCAGGGAGAAATTGTAAATGGTGTTCCAAAGATGGCACCCTTCTCTTATTCCCAGGGTCAGGTTTCTATTATGTGACCTATTCCCACCCCACAAAGGTTTTATTATATGTTCTGTAATGCTATACAATTCCACACATTTCATATAACATAAAATATGTAGTCTATGTTCTTCTTGAAGACTAGGAGAAATATACTGATCCTAATTATAAGGCAGATTTGTTTTGAAAATAAAGGGGTTCTTAACCTTTTAACGATTACAGTTCTCCAATGGATTGGGTATAAGTCTCCATACTCCCTTTGCCCCACTTGTCAAAATCATCATCACTAGTCCTATTAGATACCAGAATGACCTTCAAAGATGTCTATAGCTTGGTTTTAATTTTCATATGGATAGCTTGAAACAGAACATCTGAATGAAAATCAAAGGGATTTTATCAATTACATTTAATTTTTTTTAATATTAAAATGGCAAACCACAAATACACAAGTTAGCTACAACTAGTGAGATTGTTGCTGCTGTTTTTGTGCAATGAAATGCTAGAACTGAAGTACAGTTACTGACAATATTACTTGCATGTCGTCTAACAGAAGTCAATTTTTGCTGTTTGATTTCAGGTACAATACAGAATCCTTGTTTGTTTTTTTCAATTATGCAGTGAGTTCCCTATTCCCTTTGTTTGGTTCTCACACCTCTAGTGTATAAATACACCAGCTTTAGGTCTATGTGTTGTGTTTTTGAATTTAAAGGCTGACATGTCATTTCACATAATGGTGATGGCAGGTTTGGTTGTACACAACCAAAATCTGCAAGGACATCAGAATGGTTGATAGCCAAAGTTCAGGATGGGCAGTCTAAGAGTGGCCATACTTTGCCATATTACATCATAATTCAGGCAGTATCTTTGACAAATGTCAGATGATCAGGCTGTTTAGGTGTATCCTAGTGGGTAACAAAATGCTGGATATCATATTCTCAGCCCCTGTCTGTGACATTTCTGTGGGTGTTATGCCGTAGGTAAATATCTATGTTTTCTATTCTGTCGTATCCTTTTTTTGTGCCTTTTTTCAACATTTTCCCTAAATATTCTGGGTGTTTTTTATAACTTCTGCCCCCATCACAGACTTATATGCTTGCCTTGCTAAGATGAGGTTTATGCCTTCAATACGTCCAAGTTTAGTTTGGATTGCATCCACTCTGTCCTGTTTCCTGGCTGTACTTCTGCATCCTAGTCCCTGTGCTTTTAATGAAATTCTCACAGGCACCTCTTGCTGCAATCTGATGCCTGTCATTGCCTTCATTGCTATTTGTTATCCTTGCCCCCCTTGTTGCTCCCTTCAATCCTTTGCTTACTTTGCCTTCATTCTGTTTAAAATAAACCATTTTGCAGTTAAAAATAATAAATTTTGGACTATGGGCTGCTTCCGAAATTCTGTGGCTCTACATTTCTAAAATTCTGACCTTCTGTCCCTGTATATTCTATAATGTCTATTCTCCATTTGGAATCCTTTGTTGTCAGACTACCAGTCCCATCATGCAACTTCTTTTTTGGGCTTTAAATCTCTTATATAGTATCTGTCAATTGTATTCTGCTTTCTAACTCTAGAAAGCTTGAATTCTCTTGCAGTAACCCTTGCCACTAATATTTCGAACTATAAAATGAAAATGTGCCAACATAAAAAACCCAATGCTTTATCAAGATTTGGATGAATGAAGATATATTATATTACAAATAAAAGATTTCCTTGACCACAAGTGGTTGACTTCATTTTCAGTGCGGTAGTACAAAATAAAAACCAGCTATAAATAAACCTTTAAATAATGCAAGCTTTCATGATAACCAGCGCATCAACGACTTCAACCATCTTTCAAAAGCTCCGATGAAAGATAGCTGTGCTGATTATTGAGGAAACAGTGGGCTAAGGGTGATTGGCAACCTATAATCCCTTTTCATTTAAACAAGAACTATTATTCCGAAACATGCTGTTAATTGATGAGCAGAAAAAACTAAACATATGCATTTGACGTTTATCTATGGTCAAAATTTAAAATTATATATTCATTTCTATATCAGGTTTACATTATTTCTTGCCTACTCCTATTATTTGAATGATTTTAAAGTTGGGAATCTTATTTATGAAGATCCTCACACATTTACTTCCTTGAATTCTGGGACATGTATTCACTATGTAAGTAGGCTCTGCTGCGTCACACATTTCACAGAGCCTACCTTCTGAACTACAGAGGAGCTGAGAGGATGTGTCTCTGAAGGTGGAGTCAATACAGGAATCTTTGCTTGCAGCAAGTTTCCATGGGATATGTAGTTCTTAGAAGTCAAAATTAAACAGCAGAGAGGAAGCAGCAAAGCATGCAGGGAATCTAGGACATTGTGGAAAGAGATGACCAGCAGACAGGTAGAACTCACAATATGAAATTGAGATACAAAAGACTATAGATTTGTCTTACCTGGAAACACCCAGAGGTAAATCAATTGTTTTCATATAGTCCACCCATCTGCTCAAGATTGGGTTAGGTCAGGGGAAGGGGGCACAAAAAATAAGTGCACTTTTCCTTTAAATCCCCTGTCAGGTGTCCTTTTTGGGGAGATTTCCCTTCAGATCCTGCCCTATAGCCACAACAGAAAGTGAGAGGAAATCTCTTCACAGTGAGAAAAATACCGTCCTCAGTTGTCATTGAAGTAAGCGTCCCGTTGGAAGACTTTTCCTCTAATTCTGTTCTGGTGGCAACTCACAATGTGGGATTTTCCCTTCATTTCCAGGCACAGTGGTCACCATGATAAATAGAGAGGACAAATCTCCCTAGTAGAGACACAAAGACCAATAAAAACCTGACAGGGGTTCTAAACTCCTTACCACCCAGAAAAAAAAACATTTAGGCTTTACAAACACTTTAATGCAGTGTTTGGGGTGATATTGATATTCATATGTAAGTTTATGAATAGATTAGCTCATATTAGGGTCAATTCTCCCACTACTTTTTGTTATGCCTTCCTCCTTAACACTTACTTGACTGTTCAATTATTCCAGTGCTGTCCCATTTGTAGCACCCCTGCTCCCTCTTCCTGGTCTCACAGGATACACTGAGAGCAGTGGGAGCTATTGGCCACTGTTGTCAGTCAAATCCTGTGGGGGGCATGGCCAAGCCATGCTGTGAGTGTCTATGGATGCTCGGGAGCAAATACGCATGGGCTCCCCATTAGCAGCCGGCTTGC